CGTCACGCCCGCTGTCCGCCTCGCAGCCATCGCTGCCCCATGGCGCAGCCGCCCCGGGTCCGGAGGCCTCCACGCGGACGGCCAGCAGCTCCACGCCGCGCCTGGGGCCCACCACCCCCGGCCGGCCCGCTGCGCCCAGCCCGGATTGCAGAGACTCGGCCACACCTGGCCCAGACCCGCCGGACTCCGCGCGCTCGCGCCTGTCCTCCAATTTGTGACCCTCGTGCCCGCTGGGCCGCCGTTCACACCAAAGCCACGTGCGCCGCCCGCCCGCGCCGTGCCCAAGCCATAGACTGACCTAGGTAGCTTAGGGCGGGCGGCCCGCCCCGGCTGACCCCATCGCCCTGCGCCCACCTCCATCGCCCCCGCCCCGGCCAGGCGGCCGCGTTCTGCACAGGAGGGCGAGGGCGCCAATCACCTTGGTGCCTCAGCCCTCACAGGGATGGGGACCGGGCGGCCTTGGCCAAGGACCTGGCCGTGCCCCGCGCCCCGTGAGGACGGATCTGGATCGTGCAATACCCGGCAAGCCGGCTTCCTGCTGCCCCTGTCCGCTCACGCAATAACTGGCCCGGCGCCCGCCCACGCGTCCACAGTGACTTCCCAGGGGCACGCACCATGGAGCCCATAACTGGGGTGCCCAGCATGGAGCACGGACTTGGGGATGCTCACCATGGAACACACCAGGATCGTGCACCCAGGGGCAGTATGCGCTGGCTGGGGTTGGGGGGCAAGACTGGGTTTCCTCCGTCGCCATGAATGTACTGAGGAGTCGAGGCAGCAGCGCCCACCGCGGCCCCTACGCCCCATTAACCCACAGCCCATTCCGCGCAATAAACGACAGCATTGGCGCCCAGTGCGCCGTCTGATTGCTTGGCGCGCGCCCACATTTTATTGTGTATTTACACTATGCACAGGCCAGAGTGCTGAGGTTCAGCTGAAGAAGTAGGTGGACCCCATCACCTGGCTCAGGTCAAACGTGCCTGCAGGAAGGGGAGGGGGACGACAAGGCGTGGAGCTAAGGTGGGGCCTTGGGATACATATGCCCGCTGTCCACTGCCCCACACCCCTTACCTGTCTCGGGTAGAGACTGCAGTGTCTCCTGCAGCTTGGCGATCAGGGCGAGATCTGAGCGCTTCAGGGACCTGGCGCTGGGGTGGGTGTAAGAGGAGGTGAGGCAACACGGGGGTGAGGGCGAGGGGAGGGGTCACCGGGACCACACTGCTCACCTGGCCCCAGAGCAGAAGCGAACCCACAGGAACTCAGCCAGTTCCTCCAGGATTGGTTGACTGTGCAGACGCACGAACTGCTCTCGGCAAACCTGGGGGGGGGGGGCAGGCTCCTGTCAGGCAGGGTGTGAGTGCCTGGTGTCCATCCCTAGGCCCTACACTTACCTTGTTCATCACAGGGATGTCAGCTGCATGCGTCCAGAAGCAATCATGCACAGAGACAAACGTCAGGCCCTTCCTGGGTGGGAGACTTCAATGAGGCAACCTGTCTGCCCTGAGTCCTCAGCCTGCCACAGTGGGCTCCACTAGGCACCCAGGCTCCCTAATGCTCTAGGTGGTTTACATTCAGAGAGAGACATTCACCTTGCACCCTGCCCCCAGCCTGCTACTGGGATGGAGTTGACCAGCAGGAAGCACAGTCCCAACCCCAGCTCAGTGCAACCGCAGTCCTCTGCTAAGGACCTGCAGGGCCTGCACTGATCTGGGACTCTGGGGTCCTGAGGCCATGTGAGTGCCAGGCTGGCACCCATGAACCTCCTGCAGAGCCTCACCATCACTGTTTATCATGTCCCCAAAGAGCAGAGCAAGATTGGCAAGGCTCACACAGTTAAATCAGTAAACAGAGCACCCACACAGCCACGCCCACCTGTAACCCAGGGCCCACCCACTCAGGCCCACCTGTAGCAATGCAGGGCAGTCAGCATCATGTGGGACGAGTCCAGGGAGTGGATGAAGTTGGGTGGGAACCCATTCTTCTGCTTCAAAGTGTTGGGCTTCCTGTGGGGGATGGGGTAGCTAGGCCTAATGCTCCTAGCCTCCCCCTGCCTCTTCCCCTGATTGTTCCCTTCCCTCCCCCAAGCCCACCCCTGTTCAGGGACCTGTCCACTCACTGCCCCTGCCTTTCTCCCTCCCTTCCCCTGCCTGTCCCCTTCTCTCCTCTTGCCTCTTCCCCCCAGGCCCACTCCCACTCACTGGTTTGTGTCCACGGAGCTGGTAAAGGTGAGGCTCTGGATCCCGCCTTTAACCTGTGGGGTGGAGTGCTGGTGAGTCCAGCCTGGGGGGGGGGGCAATGGGAAGGGAGGGTTCCCATACCTGGACCTTGGCCTCACGGTGATAGGGCTGTATGATGGGGATGCCCAAGGGCGTGACCCACTCCACGGGCCAGCCTGCATGGGAGATGAGGTTGGCACTCTCAGTCAGCCAATGCTGTGGACAGGACAAGAGGGCAGCGTGGTTGGGGGATAGGATGGAGGGATTAGGATGGGAGAGGAGCTGCAGGATGCAGAGGATGTGGGGTAGAGAGTGGGATGGAGGGACCATGGGATGGAGGGGTGGGGTAGAGGGAGTGGAGTGGGGTCCTCACCTGGATGGCTCGAGTGCTGGAAAACATTTCCTGAAGGCTTTTGAAGACTTGGCGTACCAGATAGTGAGAGGCCTCCCAGATGTACTCCTGTGGGGCAGGGTAGAGGTATGATTGATAGGTGGAGGGCCACCCACCACCCACCCACTCTGCCACAGTCCTGTGTGGGCCCACCTGGGGGAAGTCACTGAGTTCTCGCAAGCGCTTCTCTATCTGCAGGCGGCCGCCGTAGCGTGTGACCCCATAGACCACAGTCATGACTGTCTGCTTGACCACCTTGCGGCTGATAAAACCTTCCAGCACCTGAGCCACTCTCAGGCCCTCTTCAGCATCCTGCCGCCGGGACTCCTCCACCTAGTGGAGAAGGGGATCAAGGGAGCCTGTCACCCTCCCCCACCACGGACCCCCATAAAAGACCCTGGATGAGAAAAAGTGCAGGCCTGGGACCTACCTGTGCTGCCACCTCCCTGTACACGTCCTGTGGCAGATCTGAGGGTATGAGGTTGACTGATGCTGCGCCTATGCTGTCTCGGCCCAGGGCTGCGTAATGCTGCAAGCCATTGCAGGAGCCATCCTGGCCAGAGGGGGTGCCGGTGAGCTGAGGCCACGCACCCCAAGACTGACAGTCATCCTTGGAGCAGCTCACCACACAGCAGGGTGCAAAGAGGTACCCATTTCTGGGGAGAGTACAGACCTACCTCCTGCACAGCAAGGCCAGCCACACAAGGACATCCACACTTAAAGGTGAAACCCCACTGCAGAGCCAGGTCCCAGGATGCCCACCTACACTCACCTGGTGAACTGGGAGGTGGGAAATGTAGGCGGCAGGATCTGGGGCCCGCACAGCCTGTGCCACCTCCATGCAGCAGGCCAAGGTCTGCCAGGGCTCGTCGGCCTCCATCCACCACTTCCGGCCCTGGAGAGGCAAGACAGGTCAGGCTCAGACCTCACAGGGCCCAGAGGCCAGCCCAGGTGACGCAGGGACACATGGAGGCCAAGCAATAAATGTGATGGAGACACAAAGGCCACTCAGGTGACAGACACAGGAACTGTGTATGACAGGCAGGGGCCACTCAGGTGATGGACACAGGAACACAGGAAGCGTGTGACAGGAGCAGGGGGCCACTAAGGTGACAGACACAGGGATATAGGAAGTGTGTGATGGGAGCAGGGGGCCACTCAGGTGAGAGCTGGCAGCTGCTGCAGTGTGCAGAGGGGACAAGGCAGGCAGGAGGGCAGGAAACAGCTGGTGTCAGGCTGGGGGCATCTAAGAGACCTAGGGAGGAGAGAGAGAGTCAGAGGTGAAGTCAGGCTAGAGGGTCAGAGGGCAGGAAGGGAGACAAGTGGAGGTCCCAGTATAGAAGGCAGACAGGCCGGGCGTGGTGGTGCAGGACTTTGGGAGGCAGAGGCAGTGAATTCAAGGCCAGCCTGGTCTACATAATGAGTTCCAGGCCAGCTGGGACTACAGGGAGACTCTGTCTCAAAAAGAAAAAAAAAAGGGCAGACAGATGGGCTCGCACAAAGGAGACAGGTGGTGCTCGCACCGTCATGGGATGGTCAGCAGAGTCCAAGATGTCCTCCATAACCTGGTCAGCGAAAGCCAGGCGCCCATGCAGTGACTCCCGCTTCTTGAGGCCAGTCAGGTTGACCAGGTGAATCTTGAGCCAGTCCAGGCCATGAGGCCCCAGTGGCCGGCCCTCAGCGAACTCCAGCAGGGCCCGGGCCAGGTCGCTGCCCAAGTGGTTGAAATAGGGTGGACAGGGGTAGGTGCGGCCTCGGAAGTCCATATTGTGTGGCAGCCAGAAGACATGGTGGCGCAGGTGCTGCGCCAGTGACAGGCGGTACAGGGCCTCGCTGCGCAGACTGTGCATCTCCCGGGCTGCCTTCAGGCAGCGTGCCATCTCCTTGCGCAGCTCTGCCTTGTGTACCGGTGAGGAGTCAGGTGGTGGCCGAGGCTGCAAGGGCTGGGGTGCCTCAGAGCGCGGGGGTGGCACCCCCAGGCGCACACAGCCCTTGGCCCTGAAGATTTCCAGCACTAGATCCAGCACACGCACATTGACTCGCCAGGCACAGTTGCCCAGCTGTGTGAGCGCATCTAGGGCACCATGCAGCTGCTCGGGCGGGCATTGCTCCAGCAGGTGCTGGTGCTGTGTGGTGCCCTCCATGGCACGCATGAGTTTGGTGGAGCTCAGCAGGTAGGCACCAGAGTGTGGGGATGTCCATGGCAGGGGTGGGCAGAGCATAGGCACCTCTGTTGTCTCAAAAGTCAGTGTGGGCTCTGCTGCCATCTCCAGCAGCTGCGTGAAGGCTGGGTGTGGTTTCAGGATGCCAACCTAGGGACATGGTGTTCAGGACCAGGCAGAGACCACCACTGCCAGCCAGCACAAAGGGTGGGGGGGCAATCAGACAGACCCTAGAGCTGCCCACTTGTGCAAGTTAACAGGGATCAGACTGACCCCAGAACTGCCCACCTCTGGTGCCCCACACTATATCCTATCATGAACAGTGATGGTGGGCAGCATTACCCAGAGGGGTCTAGACCTGCTGAGTGTTCCCATCACAAACAGAGATGGTGGGCAGCATTACCCAGAAGGGTCTAGACCTGCTGAATTTCCCATCATGAACAGAGATGGTGGGCAGCATTACCCAGAGGGGTCTAGACCTGCTGAGCCCCCCCCAGAGAGCAAGTCAGGGCCCCATGGGTGGTCACAGCCCTCCCAGATTGGTCATGTTCCCCACAAAATGGTTAGCTACCAATTCAGGGCAGTGAGCAGCCCCCCAAACCAGCCAGCTTCCCCCACCAGCATCCACCCCAGTTATGCACACCTGGCGGACGCTGCGGAAGGAATAAACGTGGTACAGCACTGGGATGAGGCGGCAAGCGCCCTGAGGGGCGGCCAGGCTGCGAGGCATCTGCACAGCCCGCACCAGCAGCTCTGCCAGCTCTTTGCCCAACTGCAGCACCACTGCCAGGGCCCAGGGCTGCTGCTGCGGGGCCTGGGGTGGGCCCAGTGCCTCCCAGTACTGCCGTGGCAGGTAGGATGACGACACCTGCGGGGAGGACTGGTCAAGGAGGGGACTGCCCCAGGTGACATGAGGGTACAGTGGGGGAAGAAGGGTGTGGGCTATGTGTGTGAGATGGATAGCTCATGTGTGTCTGATGGTAGCAGCAAGGTGGCAGGGAGAGGTGGCCCAGGTGACCGGGAAGGGTTTGCCCATAGGGAGGAGCCACGGGAAGGGGCGTGTCTATGGAGGAGGAGCCAGGGGAAGGGGTGTGTCTATGAAGGAGGAGCCCTGGGAAGTGGTGTACCCAGGGGGAGGAGTTAGGGAAGGGGACTGCACACTGGGAGGGCTAGGGGAAGAGGGTCCCACAGTTCCTGACCTGTGTGTTTGCTGCCAGCAGCTGCAGGTACTTCGAGTAGTGCTGGCTCAGCTCCTGCACATAGCTGCCTCCCTGCTTCTGTTGCACCAAGTGCCGGTTCAGGACCCGCAGGCCCAGGTTGTGTGCTAAGAAGAGGAGGGGCTGACCCTGTGGGGGCAGTGCCTGCAGGACCTAGGGGGGATCAGGGGCTGGTGTTGGTGGTGCCTCAGCACACCCACCACCCCCAGTCCGGCAGCACACACCTGCATCAGCATGCTCACCCAGTCCGCTCTCCGACGCACATCAACACGCTCACCTGCAATAGCACTCACACTCCCATCTAGAACTTGCACCCACCTGCGTCAGTACCCACCCACATCAGACACGCACCTGCATCAGCACACTCACAAGCTCCTCCTCACTGAGTAGGCAGAGGAAGGGGTAGAGGGTGGGCAGCCCATCATGTGCCTCACTGGCCATAGTGGCCTTGGTCTGCTGTAGTGCTCGGAGCAGCTCTGCCTCCCACTGTGTACGCAGGCTCTGCAAGATCTTCCGCTGTAGGAAAGTAGTTAGCAACCGGTTTGGTCCCTGCCTGGACCTCACAGGACCCTCATTCTGGGACCAGACCTCCAAGCTCCACCCTGGCAAGATCACAGGCCCCTTACCGCCTCAGTGACCTCTTTGGTCATCTGTGGGGCCTTCTCCACCGACTGCACTCTCACATTGGTACTCAACTCCACCTGCAGCTGCTGCTGGAAGAGGCGTTGCAGCGTCTCCAGGGGCAGGTGCAGCTTTGGGTAGGACACGGGGATGTCCTGCTGGGCACAGGCAGACAGTGAGGTGGGAGCACCGGGAGGCAGTGCCCAGGCAGCCGAGAAGCCTCACTGCCTCCCCCAAGGTCTTTGCTGAACTGTGGGTCTACCCAAAACAAACATGCCTCAAACCCAGAGCCCTGGGAACTGAAAACAGACATAGCAACCTGATGATAACAGCTGGGGCAACAACTCACGGTCCACACCACATTCTGACATACTCAGTGCCACACCCCCACACCGCAGTACTTAAGCCATAAACAGGAATGAGGCTCCCATACCACAGGGTAAAGGAACCTTTAGGACATGGTACTCAGTGAGAGGCCCAGATACAAAAGACCACTGTTTGGGCCATGACAGGAAGTGGATGTGTGGGTGTGAGTCTGTGAAGGCTTGTGCCCTGCAAGTCAGGCCCCTCCAGCGGCCTGATGTAGGAAGGGAGGAAACAGGTTGGGGTGGGGGTGGCTTTCTGACCATACTTCTAGATACCTGCAGGAGGCTCACCTTGGCATAGATCTCCCTCAGCAGTGGGGAAGTGTTGGTGGGGGTTGGGGCCTGCACTGGAGGACTGAAGGCGGGCTCAACCTTCACAAGGGCCCTCAGGAGCACAGCCCGCTCCTCTTCAGACAGGGCCAGGTCCGTGAAGAGCTGCTCCAGTTGAAATCCTTCCCGCACCATCTGCTTCACACACCTGTGAGGTGCATGGGGAGCTCACAGCCCAGCCTGCTCATCCCAAGAGCAAGCCCGTCCCACAGCCCACCTCTGACCTACCTTTGGATGATGTGGACATCCTGGTCCCCTCGGCCCATGCACTGGAGTGCAGCTGCATAGGACTGCAGGTTGGGGGATAGGCCCGAGTCCTTTAGCATCACAAATACATACACCAGCTCCTTGAAGGCACCCTGGGGACACGGGGTGGGTGGGGGTGGGGGTGAGGGCCAGGGATAGTACAGAGCCCTTCCCCTGGGCCCTGGACACCCTTCCTCTGAGGCAGGGACTGGGAGGGGACATGCCACAGGGGTGTCCTGTCAATCTTTAAAGATTTCAGTTCATCTTTTTCTTGCATTGGTGGAGACTGAATGAATCCAGGACCTCAGGAATGCTAGGCAAGTGATCTACCACTGAGCTGCAATCCCTGGCCTCCTGTTTTTGTTTTGTTTTTGAGACAGGGTCTCCCTGTAGCCCCAGCTGGCCTGGAACTTGCTATGTAGACCGGGCTGGCCTCAACCTTGGTGACCTGCCAGCTTCTGCCTCCTAAGTGCAGGCATTAAAACCTGTGCCACCATACCCAGCTTATGTGTGCTTCTGAGACACGTTCTCACTGTGTAGCCCAGGCTAGCCTCAAACTCACAGCAATCCTTCTGCCTCTTCCTCTGGAGTCAGGGGATGACAGGTTACCTGATGCCTGTTGCTTATTTTAAATATCCAGAGTTGCCTTTAATCCCAGCACTCCGGAGGCAGAGGCAGGCAGATCGCTGTGAGTTCAAGGCCAGCCTGGTCTACATAGTGAGTTCCAGGACAGCTGGAACTACAGAGAGACCCTGTCTCAAAAAGACCAAAAAAAAAAAAAAAAAGAGTAAAATAAAAAAGAATAAATAAATAAATAAGTAAACATCCAGAGCTGCCATCATGTCAGCCATGTTCCACGGACTCAGAGGCCACATGTAGCTTGTGATAGACACAGAGCATTTCCAATACCTCAGAAAGTCTAGATGGTGCTAGGCTACAAGAGCGGTCTGCCTTATCTTTCTTTTCTATTCTTGATTTTGTTTTACTTTTCTCCCTTTGAAACAGGATCTGGCTGTGCTGTCCAGGCTGGTCTTGAACTCCTAGACAGACATGATTCTCCTACAGCAGCCGTAGGACAACAGGCATATACCACGCCAGGCTCCTGTCCTTCACCATTACTGTGAAAATGGCTATTATCCCAGCTACTCGGGAGGCTGAGGCAGGAGGATCAGAAGTTCAGCATTATCCTTCACTACATAGTGAGTTTGGGCTACATGAGACCCTGTCTCAAAAACAAAACAAAACAAACACAACAAAAAACTACAGACAAGTGTTGCTAAAGTAGTAGCACTGGGGGTGGAAACTGAGGACACAAACTTCTAATTAACAAAGAAGTCTGTCAAAGCACCCTGAGTTTCCACTCAAGGACACGTCAAGAGAAAGAACACACTCTCCACCTGGAGATGGATGCCATTCCCTGGGATAGGGCCACCAGGGCAACAGGGATGCCCTGCCCAGAATTGTACTTGGGCCTCCCCATTCCTTTCCCAGTCTTTTTTTTTTCTTTTTTGGGAGGTTAGGGGTCCTCCTTTTTCTTTAAATGTTTTTGGACTTTTTATTTTATCTGTGTTATGCCCACATGTATGTAAATGTACCCATGTCCTGCAATGCCCTCAGAAGACAGAAGAGGGTGTCGGATCCCCAGTACTGGAGTTACAGACGGTTGTTAGCCGCTATATGGGTACTGGGATTCAAACCTAGGTCTTCTGAAAGAGCAGCCAGTGTTCTTAACTGCTGAGCCATCTCTCTCTGGCACCTTTGTGTCTCTTTTTAAGACAAGGTCTCCTTATAGCCTCCGCTAGCCTGGAACTCACTGTGTACATCAGGCTAGCTTCAATCTCACAGACATTCACCTGCCTCTGCCTCCAAGTGCTGAGGTTAAAGGTATGCCCAAGTGCTGGCATGAGTTCTTTCTGAAAAGGCTAAAAGACATGGCTCTCAGCAAGTCAGTCAGAAGGGTAACCTCACCTTGCGGGCCCAGCCGAGCATCACCGTGTTGTACATGTCCAGGGTTAGCAGCTGTTGTTTGTCCCGTTTGCTGTGGTGAGTGACCAGCACATGGTGGGCAAGGGGCAGGTGGCCAGTGACCAGGCAACACTGGAGAAAGTGCATGAGTCTCTGCCCCAGGAGGAGGATGTGTGTCTCCACTGCCTTTGGCCTGACAGGCTGACGTGCCTCCTGCGTACCCAGCTTCTGCAGGGCGGCCTGCAAGGCCCGAGCCAGCTGCTCCTTTGAGGGGTTCCCTGGGGCCTCAGGCTTGGCATGCTGCAGGCAGCCAGCCAGCTTCTTGCTCCAGATGCGGGGCTCCAGGCGCAGGGTCAGGGACTGCAGCCCAACGGGGCGCTTGCCCTGCAGGACTTCCTGCCGCTGCTGCAGCCCATGCCTCTCGGCTTCCAACTTCTTCTCCCAGTGGCTACAGACATGGCCCTGCAGGGGCTGAGCCCCCTGCACCCTCTTGGTGTTCGTGTCCACCACGCTCTCTGTCTGCAGCTGCCGCACACGGGCCTCCAGCACTGTAGGGTACCAGGGAGATGTCAGCATCCACTCCTGTACCTTGGGGTGCTCAGGTCTGGACCCCAGGGTCACTCATAACTGTCTCCCTTCTGTCTGCCAAGTCTCCCAGAAGACCCACCTCTCCCACTCCGGCCAGCTCCTCCCTCTTTCATTCCTCCCAGTCTTGGGACCTTTGCACAAGGCCCGCAGCAACCAACCAAGCAGCAGCAATATGCTGTGTGGTTCTTTTGACTTAATACACAGTAGTGGGTGACAGCCTACATCTGTGACTCCGTGCCCCAAGCAAGCTGATCAAACACATCTATTTTCTCCATGAACCACCTTTCAGAGTTGACAAAAACACAAAAGGCTCCACAGGCAAACAGCCTCAGGTCCTAGTCAGAGTGGAGACAAGGCAGGTGAATTTGCAAAGCACAGCACTGGCACCCTGAGGACCAGCCTTTGTCTTCCACCTCCCAGAACTGCAGCTCCAGCCTCACTGCATTCTTGGCTCAGGGTCAATATAAGGCAGTGACCCAGTTCAGATTTGTTTAAATAGAAAAAGAGGAGCTAGAGAGCTGGCTCAGTGGTTAAGAGCACTGGCTGTTTTCACAGAGGACCAAAGTTCAGTTCCCAGCACCCACATGGTGGCTAACAACTGTCTTTAACTCCAGTTCCGTGGGATTTGCTGCTGCCCTCTTCTGACCTCTGCAGGTATTGCATGACATGGGTGCACTTACATACATACAGGCAATACATTCATACAACATAAAATTTTAAAAAATCTTGGAAAAATGAATAAAATTAACAGAATCAGTAGAGTGACCTGGGAACGGGATGTGGCTGGGAGCAGAGAGGGACAGCATTCTACCTTCATGTCCCTCTAAGAGTCTGCTCTCTCTGGCTGCCACACAGGACATGCGTCAGGAGGAAAACCTGGATAGTGGCCTGGGCCACCCTGTCCACAAGACTTGGTAGCTTAGCTCTGGAAACTGGGTTCCAACTGAAGTCTGCCTGTGCAGCCTCTGGCATTTGTTCAGCTGTGATTGGGCCTCAACTGGCTTCCCGGTAGTGGGGGCTACCAGAGCCAGCCTGGCACATGATGGGACGGAGCAGTCTGTGCATAAAATTCTCACAAAGCTACCAGGTCAATTGAACCTGGACCACGTTTCCTTGGTAAGGTCACAGAACAGTGGAAAGCTGTTCATGTGGGGAACTGAGGGGAGGAGCTCCACCCATGCCCCTGGCTCACCTTCCAAGAGCTCGGCATGTCCCCAGTCCTTCTGGCCATCTTGCTCACAGAGACTGATAGATGAGCTCCTTCGTGGACCCCAGAGGCCACCAAGGGTTCCTAGAGAGACATGAAGGCTGACGCGGACAGCAATCATGCCATCAAGTGAATATGGTGGCCCATGTTTGTCATCCCAGTACTCAGGAGTCTAAGGCAAGTCAGTCTAGCCTGAGCTACTTAGTTCCAAGTCAGCCTAGGCTAGAGTAAAACCCAGAAAGAAATGGCATCAAAAGACAGAAGCTGGACAGTCGGCTCAGAGGTTAAGAGCACTGGCTGCTCTTGTAGAAGACCTGGGTTCAGTTCCCAGCACCCACATGATGGCCAATGACCATCATTAACTCCAGTCCAGGGGATCTTTTCTGGCCTTGGCAGGCATTACATACACGTGGCGCACAAACATCCATGTAGGCAAAATACCCATTCACATAAAATAAGTTTTTTTTAGTCCCTGTAACCTCAGCTGATCAGGAACTCACTATGTAGCCCAGACTGGCCTGCCTCTGCCTACTGAGCATCAGGATTAAAGGCCTGTGCCACCATGCCCGGCTTAAATTTTTAATTTCAAAAAAAAAAAAGAAAAGAAAGGACAGCCAGGTGGCACAAGACTGGGTTTCCAGCACCAGGGAGGCTGAGGCAGGACCGTGTGGGGTTCGAATCCTGCCTAGGTTACATGGCAAAATTTTGTAATTCTGGGTACAGAATCAGCAAGGATTCCTCACTACCCAGAGTTCAAAGGTCAAAAGTCCCCAGTCACCATCAGTGGATCTCAGGGCTACAAAATCAAGCAAGGGTCAAAGAGCAAAGCCGTCGTGGTCTTCCCTGGCAGGCGGCGCGCCAGGTGGGCTACCACGGGCCAAAGGGCAAAGGTTGGAGGTGACCGGACCCCGAAGGGGGGGAGCAGAGATCAAGGTCGTCACGTGACCCCCTGCATTACCTTCCTCGGTCCCCGGGCGAGGGCGACCGGAGCAGCGCAGCGTCCTCCCGAGTTCAGCCGCACCGCGGCCCCAGCGCAGCGCCGACATGCCGCCCTCTGCCCGCGTTGCGCACGCGCGCTCGCGCCACCTGCCGGGATTTGTAGTCCCTTTTTGGACGGTGGCTGCGAAGGGTCGTTCCAGCAGGAAGCAAAGGATGAACTACAACTCCCAGGAGGCAGCGGGTGGACCGTAAAGGGAGCATGCGCAGAAGTCTTCTGCTAGTCCCGTCTAGGCCAGATTTTCGGAGGATCCTATTTCTTTTTTTTTCTTTTTCTACTTCTTTTTGATTGAATGGAATTTTCTTTTAATTTTTTAAATTTAAATTTATTTTTATTTTATGTTTACGAGTGATTTTCATAAATGTAAGTGCACAGCGTGCGTGCAATGCCCACGGAGGCCAGAAAAGGGCGTTGGATCCCCTGGAACTGGAGGTTTACATTTTAAATTTATTTTTAATTAATTAATTTGTTTGTTTGTTTGCTTTTTATTGTGGGTTTGGGGGCGGTTGAGACAGTCTCCCTGTAGCCTCAGCAGGCCTGGAACTCACTATGTAGACCAGGCTGGCTGCAACCACGTCCCATCCATTTATTATTATTTATTTATTTTTCAACCATCCCTTTATTTTTATTTTGAGACGGTATAGCGAAGTTGCTCAGACTGGTCTTGAAGTAGCTTTGAAGCCCAAACGGGCTTCCCTACTCCTGGCCCTTCTTTAAGGTACTTTTAGGGGCTAGAGAGATGGCTCAGCGTTGAAGAACACTGCTGCTGCAGAGGACCTGGGTTCGATTCCCAGCACCCACATAGGGGCTAACAACCATCCAGTTCCAGGGGATCCGACGCTCTCTTCGAACCTCCATGGGCATTGCAGGACATGGTGCACTTACACACATGCAGGCATTACACTCATACACATAAAATTATACATATATATATATATAACTTAAAAAAAAAAAAAGATACTTGCCAGGCGTGGTGGTGCACACCTGTAGTCCCAGCACTTGGGAGGCAGACGCAGGCGGATCTCTGTGAGTTCAAGGCCAGCCTGGTCTACATAGTGAGTTCCAGGACAGCTGGGGCTACAGGGAGACCCTGTCTCAAAAAGCCAAAAAAAAAAAAAAAAAAAAAAAAAAAAAAAGATACTTTATTGAGGGCATTCAGTGAGGTCACTCAAGCAGTCCAATAGGCATGGCTATTAGGGAGATGGGTGGGAAAATTCAGATTCAGATGCAGGCAGGAAGGTGGGGAGTCCAGCTTCCACTCACCCAGTCCCCCTGGCTTCAGTTTACCCTGGAAGACAGATGGAATGGAGCAGGAAGAGTGAGCTTCATAGAGAAGAGACAAACCCCCGATTCTCCCTCCATTCACTTGTAGCCACCCCCCCCCGGTGCTCTGCTGTGCTGTAGGTAGACAAATCTACACGCCATGCCAGCTGTGGGTCAGTTAGGAAAACTGAGGCTCATAGAGAGGAGCCAATGACTAGAACTAGGTGTGGGTAGCCAGTCTGAGAAACTTGAGGAAGACCAGGCAAAGACTGTGGCCAGAGCAGAGTGGCTGAGCTGGAGGGGCCTCCAGGGCAGGACTCAGCAGCAGCCCCTGCTCAAAGCTCAGGCTGCTACAACCCCAGGGTGAGGAAGAGACCAAGACCCCTCCACTATGCATTCTGCATTCTGGCTGCCCACGCAGGCCTCACAAGGTGATGCCACCTGCCAAGAATGTTTTCAGCACAGAGCTGCACCCTCCCCAACTATCCCAACTCATCCTCTGGGGCACAGTGACCTCAACCCTGGTTCCTCCTGGGATCACCTTCCTGAGCTCTGGGGCTGAAACTGGGCCTGTGACCCCTAAGACACAGACAACTCCTCACAGTCCAGTGGGCAGGAGCAGGCAGAAACCTGAATCCCTTCTCTGTCCCTTATTCTTCATGATCCTCTTTGACTCACCAAGACACCAGACCTGCTGGGTCTTTAACAGTGTTTACCCAGGATGCTGACAAGTCTTAGCCCAGAAATTCTAGGCTGTCACTCTACTCCCAAGCCACACACCCAGCCCCTCGTTGGAGTAGTCTAGGCAAGAGCTCTACCTCTGAGTTATGCTCCAAGCACCTCACTAAGGGATCACCATGAGTTCAAGGCCAGTCTTGAGCTACTCTACAGAGTGAGACTGATCCACAAAAATACAAAAAGCAAGTCCAACAAGACAGCTCAGCAGGTAAAGGCACTTGCCACCAAACCTCATGACCTGAGTTTGATCCCCATGATCCTCATGGTGGAAAGAGAACAGACTCCTACAAGCTGTCCTCTGACTTCCACATGCTGGCTGTGTCACACATAAGCCAAACCCATCCCCAAATGTTAATACAAAATGTAAATTAGTGTGATGTGAACAAGAGAGAAAGAAGGTCATGAAGTGGTTGTTGTCATCCTAGCACTCAGGAAACTAAGGGCTGTCATTCTAGCCCTCAGGAGGCTGAGGCTGAGCATTTTGAGTTTGAGGCCAGCCTAGGACAATAAACAAAATTAAACATGGTGTCACCATATGATCCAGGAATTCAGTATGTATCCAGGAGAAATGAAAACTCAAATCCACACAGAAGCTTACATAAAAATGTTCACAATGCTGACTATGGAGACAGCCCAGTGTCCACAGATGGATAATGGACACAATGTGAACCATCCTGTCCTGGAGTACTATTCAACCCTGAACAAGAGTGAGGGTCTGACACATACCATGGCATGGAGGGACCCAGAAGACATCACATTCAGTGAGAAACCCAGGCACCAAAGGATACACAGAGTGGGTCTCCATGACAGGAAGTATCTAGAACAGGAGAATCTAGAGACAGAAAACGGATCTGTGAATACCCTGTGAATACCCCAGAGCTGACAAAATGTTGTGGGGACAGGGCTTCCACTGGGTGTTCAAATGCTTTGGAATTTGACAGGTGAGTGTTGCCCAATTCTGATACATTCGTAACCCTGAGTTTATACTTTAAATTGGTGATTTATATGGCTTGCAAATTATATTTCAATGAACTGTTAAACCAACTCGCCAGGCGTGGTGGTGCATGCCTTTAATCCCAGCACTCAGGAGGCAGAAGCAGGCAGATCTCTGTGAGTTCAAGGCCAGCCTGGTCTACATAATGAGTTCCAGGACAGCTGGGGCTACAGGGAGACCCTGTCTCAAAAAGACCGAAAAAAAAAAAAATTAAACCAACTCAGACACGTCCCAGGGTGTCCTGGCCCCTCACACAGGGATTCCGAAAATATCAGGGGTGTGTGGTAGACACTTCAAGAGAGGAGCCCTGAGTTTCTAGCAGTCAAAGAAGGTGGAGTATATTTATTTGATGCCATGTGGTCCACCCTCTACACAGCACTGCGCCAACACTTCTTCAGTTTACCCTTAAACACAGACTCCCCTTTAACCAGCCTCTTCACCTATGTTCATAGGTATGGACAACCAGGGAGGGGCACAGAGTTGGGGTCCTGTGTGGGGTATGAGCCCTGCCTGAACCTAGTGGGGACTCCTGGTTACCCTTGTCCCAGGCCCCAGGATGGATGTGTCAGCCCCTGTGTGACCCGCCCAAGGCCGGGAAGAGACTCCTGAGCAACCAGGAAGGAATCCAGGCATCCTGTAGGACCGGTCATCCTTCCAGAATGCTCCCCAAAAGGGCAGCTTGTCAGATGCCTCACACCAGTGCTATTTAAAGGTGCTCCCTTGGGGCATCAGCCCAGGACAGGGCTGCAGGGGCCTAGGGTGGGGACAGCGACTCAAGGCTGAGTCAGGCTCAGACCTGCTGGCTGCGGGCCATTGTGGGTTACCAGGAGACCACGGGTGTTGCATGAGTCTTGGGTGTGGCGGTAGAGACAGCAGGTGTGGGGTGGACACAACTGCCCCATTCTTGCTGTGCAGATTCTGTCCTTCTGACCCCAGTGTCCCTCAACTGTTGTGACACTGCTGGCGCCGGCCTCACAATCTCCAATTTGAAGGAGACACCTTTTACATGCCAACCCGGCTGGTCAGACCGACACCCACAGAACGTTCTGGTTCAGTCCCCACGAGGCATCTCCATCCGGTTGTGTCTGCCTTCATTGTCACTTGTGGGTCTCTATCTCTCACATTCTCTGTCTCCATTCCTCTCTCCATTTCTACCCCTCTCCATCTCCATCCCTGTTTCTATCTCTGTCTCTCCCTCTCCATCCCGCCCCCACACTGGCACCCAAACTGCACCTGCACCCTGGAGTCCCCCTCCTTGTGGGTGGGCGACAAACAAGCGCGTGCAGCCTAGTTGAGCCCGAGGCCGGAGGGCCACCCCCGTGTGCCCATTGGTCGGCCCTGTTCCCACCCTGCTCTCGCGGCTCCCCATTGGCTGCTGGCCCTCCCCGCCCCCGCCAAGCAGCTGGTCCTCCGCGGCCGACCCGGCGCAGGTGGGGATGCGGCTGTGGCTGGGCCTGGCCTGGCTGCTGCTGCTGGCGCCGGGCGCTGCGGGGCAGTCGCACCTGACCGGGTACCCGCACCTGGAGGGCGACGTGCGCTGGCGCCGCCTCTTTTCTTCCACGCACTTCTTCCTGCGCGTGGACTCCAGCGGCCGCGTGCAGGGGACGCGCTGGCGGCACGGCCGGGACAGTGAGTGCGGGGCGGGCACACCCCGAGAACTCCAAGCAGAGCTGGGAAACTGAGGCTGCCATGGGGTGGGGGCTCCCGCACCTGGGGGCCCCTCTTCCCAGACACCTCCGTTTGGCAGATGAGTAAGAGATAAGGCCTAACTCCAGCGGGACTATATCCAGGGCTGGACAGAGCCCTGCCTGGCCATACAGTAGGCGCTCCTTAAGTGCTTGTGGTGTGTATATGACAGAGGAAAAGCTAGGGCGAGGAGGAAGCAGGGGGTGACCAGGAAGGCCTGATCTCAGCCCTGGGCAGGTGACAGGGCACTGCCCATGCTAGCTGCTTTCATCTGGGTTCCAAGGCCCTCATTAGGCTGCACAGGAGGAGGGCTGTGACAGGGGACTGGCTGGGCAGGTCCATCCATGGTGGCAAAGCCAGGTGGAGTGGCCTCAGGCTGGGACAGAGGCTCCACTCTGCTGGGTGACCTGGGACTGTTCTGAGAGATTCTCACCTGGGCATGGATGGATGACAGTGATGGCCAGTCCTGTGTGGATCAAGCTCTTTTTTCTTTGACCTCTCTCTCCCTCTGTTTTTTTGCTTGTAGACCTCTTTTTGTTTGTTTTTGTTTTGTTTTGAGACAGGGTCTCCCTGTAGCCCCAGCTGACCTGGAACTCACTATGTAGATCAGGCTGGCCTCCATCTTACAGAGACCCGCCTGCCTTTCTGTTCCGCCTGGGATTAAAGGTGTGCACCACCACTCATCACATCTTAATTCAGTAGTGTGTCCACTGTAATGGGTCTCCCAGAGCAGAGGGCTTGGAGCAACATCTTAGGGGGTCCTGTGGGCTTCGCTCATTCAGGGTATGGGTGAAGGTCTGGGAGCAGTGGTCGTACATCCTTGCTTCCAGTGGAAGGTTTGAGCTTGGCAGCCTGCAGATGGGTTTTCAACCTTTCCCTGGTCCTTTCCTGGAGGTAAGCTGAGACTCAAGAGCCAGAGAGGGCTTGCTAGGCTCACCCATGGATGGATAGAGAGAGAGGTCCAACACTGGCTCTTCCACTCCTGGGCCTCAGTTTCTCTCTCTGTAAAGTGAGTATGCCCAATACTTCCCATTCAGGCTGTGCAGGCTCCAGAGAGAGGAGGGCAAACAGTTGGTGCTCAAACACACAATGTGTCTCAAATGTGTCTCACTGTCTTGAACCTGTTGCCCAATTCCTGGTCCAGGGTCTGCAGAAGCTCCAGGTCCATCCTGGTGTCTGTCCAGCATCCCTGTCAGCTGGGAGTGGAGACACATGGTGCTGTGTGGCTCAAAGGATGGGGTCTGAGGGCCCTCTCCTGTCCCCACGCAGGCATCATGGAGATCCGCTCTGTCCGAGTGGGCACCGTGGTGATCAAAGCTGTGTACTCTGGCTTCTATGTGGCAATGAACCGCAGGGGCCACCTCTATGGGTCGGTGAGTGGTGGGTGGTAGTGGGTAGCAGGTGGGTAGGTGGCAATGGGTGGTGATGGTGGACTGCAGCCCTCACGCACCCCCCCCCCCGCCCCCGCAGCGGGTCTACTCTGTGGACTGCAGGTTCTGGGAACGCATTGAAGAGAATGGCTACAACACATACGTGTCAAGGCGCTGGCGACACCGTGGTCGACCTATGTTCCTGGCGCTGGATGGCCGGGGGACTCCCCGAAGAGGTGGGCGAACGCAGCGACACCAGCTGTCCACACACTTCCTGCCAGTCCTGGTCTCCTGAGGCCCTGAGAGTCTTGTGGGGCCTGTTGATGGCTTAGGAGGCATGGCTGGGACCGAGGGCCCAGGCAGCAAGGGGTACATACTTGCCCTTGCACACATTGCTGGGTGCCTGCTGGCTGCCATGCATGGGGAAATGGGGGACTGCCAAGGCCGAACCCCAGGGAGCCCCTAGTCTTGAGGGATGCAGGAATCTAGCAGTTTCCATGTGTCTTGTTTGGGGTCGAGGACCAGCCAGGCACATGAAGAGACCTGTAGGTGGGGACATGTGGGGTGGATGAGGACAGTTAAGACAGAGACGGTCAGGGAGGGTAGACATGCTGCTGAGGGCCCAGGAAAGTGGGCACTGTGACAGCCCTATTGGCCCATGTGGTCAGAGTTGGGGCTGGAGAGCAGGCTCAGTGGTTAAGAGCACTGGCTATACTTGCTGAGGACCTGGGTTCAGCTCCCAGCACTCACATGGTGGTTAACAACCCTTTGTAACTCCAGTTCCAATGGTTCCAACGCCCTCTTCTGGCCTCCCAGGGCATTGCACATGCAAACACAACACAAAAAGACAAAACAGGGTCGGAGTGACTCCGACACCTGTCCAGTCTCAACAGCCTGAGGACGCAGCATCTCTGGAGTTGGGGACAGTCATGCATCTTCTGAGAGGATCAGAGGCAGAGAAAACAGACACTGCACTGCCCACTCTGAAGCAGGAGGAAGGGGCCACAAGCTGAGGGATGAGGTGCCTCTAGTTACTAGGGTGGGCAGGATGTGGGTGCTGCCTGAGCCACTGGGGCCTGAGCCACTGGGAGGGACCAGCCCTGGCTGACTGGACCAAAGCCTGGGAGGCCAGTGTCAGACTCTGACCCCAGAATTATCAACAATAAACACCTTAAGCCAAGACATATATTATGGTCACTTGTCAGTGGCAGATACATACTATGAATATGGCTGAGGGCAGCCCAAAGCCAGCCTGGGCTCCAGCAGCTATATAGACCCAAGGTGCTGGTATGAGAAAAGCCACTCATGGTCCTGGGCTCTGCAGGTCCTATACTGGAGGATGGAGTGGTGTGAGCAGGGCCCCAGGGATAGCCTGGGTCCCCTTTGTGGAAGCGGGGTGGGGACTCACAGGTGCAGGGTGATGCCAGTGTGATATGGGCGAGCACTCATAGGGGAAGAACAGGACAGAGGGCCCAGTCTTCCCCCAGCCAGAGTTGAGGTGAGTGTAAGCACCCAGGGCTGGAGGATCCCCTGGTTCACAAACCGGTAGCTTCAAAAGGAATTTGAATCCTGCCTTGGCAGGCCATCCCCTGCAGCGCACACACCCACCATGCCGGGCATCTGGACACCCTGGCTGAAGAAGACGCCAAGCCAGGGGCTCTGCTTTTCCACAGATGTATTTAAATAACTTTCCAGACACACATCTCCCTTTGAAAAAAAAACGTCTGCTGGAGCAGTTTGTTCCAGGTCTGCCAGGCACATTCCTGGTCCCAAGGTGATGAGGCAGGGCGTTGGGCCCAGCCTCCAGGGCCTGTGGCTGGCTGGCCTGACGATGGCTCTGTGGACTGCACAGACCACGGATGGCTGCACGTGGCTCAAACGTCCATTTATTTCAAAGCAGTAATAATTTAAAATCATAAAAACCCTTCTGCTGTTGAACATGTGGAGGGTGAAGTTAAAGACGGATGGAAGGCGCCTGCCAGGACATGAGCCCGGGCGCCTCCAACCAGGGACGGCCAGCCAAGTCCGAGCCTGCCACAGCCTGGTGACCCGCCCGATTCTGGGCTACCAAGCACAGCACCTTAGTCCACTGTGAGCAGTGCTGGGCAGCTGAGGTGGGCAGGTGGCCCGACCCATGCAGGGTGGGGTGAACTCAGGAGTTGCTTGTGGCATTCTCATTACTGGGTGAGTTGGAGGATGACGAGGACGAGGAGGAGGAGAAGCCCACACCAGTAAGGCCCGGAGGGTTGGTGGCTGTGTTCTGTCCTGTGAGGCTCTTGCGGCAGACAGGGCAGCTGTCATGCTAGAGAGCAAGAGGGAGTCGGGGACAGGGCCGGGGGTTGGGGTCAGAAGAACTCAGGGGGGA